GGGGGGGGGGCATTTGTTTTTATTTCAACTTCAAAGTTTGACAAATTGTGAACAATTGTCACCAGACCAACAAAAGCTCTTGAGTCTGCTGCAAACTTAAACCCCAACATACAACATAAGCACATTTGCTCTACTAGCCTGTGTTTCATTCTGGAAGAGAATAGTGGGCAGCAGCGCAATTGTAGGCAGCAGGTGAACCTCATGGGCTGAACAGCTGTTGGAGATGCTGGGCTGTGCTCTTCTGAGATAGTGAGACAGAAGCACCCATCCTTTGGTAGTTATGTGCATGTCCTATGCAGGGGGATGGCCTCACTTCACATCAGCGGAACTGCCTGTGATTGAAGGATGGCACACGTTTAGGTGCGCAGCTGTTTTAAGCCAGGATTTGTTTTGTACCTGTTCTGAGACATTATAAGTGGCTGTATCCTCTCGGAGCTCCAGGATCAGGAATTCCTCTTGCTCAGGTGCTGCAGCCCAGCCCCGTGTGTGTGGGGACCTGTGGGTCCCCATCCCAGACTGATGGATGCAGCTGCTGCTTCTTTCTTGTTTGCAGGTTCAGAAGCATGTATCACACAGACACACAGAGGACTCTGGCATGGCCAGCTACACACACTGCCACAAACAAGGCACTGTTTTCAACAGCACTTGTAGGACTCCCATAATATATAAGTACAGACAGCCAGGCTCCCTTCAGCTAATTAAGACTGAAGGTCAGAGTGAAAGCACACACTGCCTTCTCTCTAGATTCACAAGCACATTCGTGGATCCCTCAACTATCAGCATGGTCCTTCTGCCTGACTGATCCCCCTGCCTGGATGCTGGGCCCTCTTAACTGTTTCCCTCCTCTTCTACTCACCAGTTAGTCCAGCTTGACACTTGCCAGCAGAGGCACACAGTCACGCGCTCGTCTTAAGGGCACTCTACATTTGTGGATTGCCCTGAATACCAGCATATACCCTCTGCTTGCCTCATACCCAGGCCTGGATCCAGGCCTACTACTCAATGGATAGTTCAGTTTTAAGTCTGCTATTGAATTTTACACGTGCACAGCAGGTTTAGAGAAGATGCAAACATTTGCCTGTCCCCATCCCAGCAGCTGGCACCAGCAGCACGGGCTTATGACCCCCAGTCTCGCTCCAGCTGCTGGCACTGAGCCGCTCACTTGCTTTACTCACACCGGTCCTTCCCAGTAGCTGGATTTTGGGATACATGCCAGTCCTGCCTTGGTGGCCGAGACCCTCACCTGCCTCTGTGGCTGGCACTGAGACACCCACTCTCTCCGGCTGCAGACACCACAGGCCTGGGACACCTCCAGCCCTGGTCTGATTCCAACTGCTGGCCCCATATCCCCTCTCACCAGCAGCTGGCATTTAGTTCTTGCAGCACTCATACACGCACGGGATAGAGTGTGAGATTGCACAGAAAGCTAACTAAAAAAGAATTTAAGAAGATAGGACAGACTGCAGTGATCAGGCACAGGGCTCGGTCAGACAAGTGGACTTTTACACATGACCAGCCCCTCTTATACCCCCTTTCTGTTCCCCACTTTGTTCCTCTGCAGTCCCGTTCCCCTGCATGTTGCTTCATCAGTTTGCATAGTTGCACCAACCCTCGTCCGGAATATCCAGAACCCTTATAAGTTGCAAGGGCCAGATTCACCTTCTTTGAAGTGATGCTTGCAGTTTCTTGATAGCCCATCAGTTAGTGTGACTGATGAGCTTTGTTTCCTGTCCTTGTCTCCCTTAGCGTTTGTCTGACAGGTCTGTGTCTCTGTAAGTTTTGTTTTTTCCCTCCCTCTTTTCCTTATCATTCCATTTTGACAAGGTCTTCGATCAGATAATTGTACTGATACAAATATTCTCACACTCTGCATGCCCTTATCCGCTAGTGTAACTGGCCAGGTTTGTTTCTTGTTACTGCCTCCATTATTGTTTGGGTGAGATTTGTGCCTCTCTGTTTCGCTTATCATCCTTTTTGACAAGGTCCTTGATCAGATAATCTTACTGAAGCAAACACTGTCACCTTCCATATATCCTTACGGTACCTATTTTACAAGAAAGTCGCCTAAGGTTTGATTTCAAGTGATAAAGATTTATTAACATCACCTTTTTTTTTTTTTTAAACACCTAGACCAGTACTGTGCCAAAAGCTTAAAAATCTTCAAAATATTTTTTAGCATGTTCAGAAACACAATACTGAAATAGCAGTAATTCTACAGTGCTACTACTCTGCTTCATTTTGAACTCACAGTCTGTCTGCAGCTGTGCTTTGGGTTGGGGAAATGTAAAAAGTTTGCATTGATAAGGAAAAATTTGTGATAAAGCTTGGGAACTGGAATTGATTTCTAAGTAAAAGATGCCTACCTATCAAGTTAAAACACCACCTTTTCTCATCCCCCATCCCTCAGTCTGTGTATGTTTCCTATGAAGAAAGCTGCAAATAATTTTCCCCCTTCTAATTTTGTCCCACTATCAAAAACAAGTTTAGGTATTTCTGCCTCTCTCATTTCTTTCCATTCTTCTCCTGATAATAGTAAGGGCTAAGTAGAAAGGGAGGATCTGATAATCTGGAGCTGGTAGGTGTTGGGCATTTGAAGCACTCATTTTGTCTAAGAATAAGCTGAGCTAGCACAGTTATAATCAGTATTTTCAGTCTTTGTGACGATCAGACTCTAAAAAGCATAGCTACTGAGGTATCAGTGAGGATGTCAGTGTTTGTTTATGGATCTGAGTGTCACATGTGACATTTAGGAGATTTATAAATTGTGTCACAATAAGCAAGTGCCTCTGGATATGAACACGGTAGTGGCAGAATGGTACATGGTAGTAGTATAAAAGAGACCCTGCCTTACATACCAGCATTTGTTTAGTAACCAGAGGAAGGTAAAAGTTGCGCTTACCTGTGTTTTACTTTGTGGCATCTTTTCTAGGATTGGAGGATTCATGTAGATCAAATGCATCAGCATAAGGATGGAATTGAATCTTCTTTGAAAGAAACTAAGGTATGTCTTGTATGTGCAGAATACGTCACTGATCTGTCAGCATTTTTATTTTTTATCTGGTATACATTAAGAATGAAATTGATTTTTTTTTTCCTTCATTTTATTTGTGCTAATGCTGTAAAAATAGAAAGGGAAATATATGATAATGATGATTAGGGACAGTGGGACTGGCAAAATACCTTGTGAGAAGGAGTTGTGTATGTGAGGATTAACGGGGATATTAGGGTTCATTAACGTATGAATTACTCTAAGTACATTCTGACTACAGAGGGCAAAATACAATAATACAATCTGAAAACAAGTGCTGATAAAAACCCCAGAATACTGTCAAATACTGTTGTTGAAGTAATTTACTGTCATCGACATTTGTAATTAATTGAGGGGGGGCAGTGATGGAAGCAGTAAAGCTTGAAATACGTATTTTGGAGGAATAATTTTTTGTTGGCTAAACACATTAGGAATAATTTTTTGTTGGCTAAACACAGCATTTCTGTACTATTTTTCTCTCTTACTTGTAGGCTTCCACATCCTTTCTTAATTACAGCACCATTTTAATACTCTTTGCGTACTATCTGTATACTGTCAACCCACAGAATATGATTTTCTAGGGTTACCTTGACAAACTCCATAATGAAATCAGCAGAACATTGGAAAAGATCAATAGCAGGGAAAAGTACATCAACAATCAGTTGGAGCACTTGGTTCAAGAGTACCGTTCAGCACAAGCCTTGTTGAGTGAGGTAATGCACTGATCTTTTGTTGTTGCCTTCTCTAGTATAACCTTGCTATTAAGTGAGGGTGAAGGCAAAGAAGACTCGGAGGAGTTATCTGTGAATTCTGCTGTTGGATATAAAGCAGGGGAAGTGTTGATTGGCTGTCAAATTATATAATTTTTAAGCTAAACTAGCAATTTTTATTGAACTATTCTACAGGGGAAAGTAAATGTTTTTTGCCTGAATGTTATGTAAATCTGTTGCCAATCTTGAGCAGCTAGTAAATTGCTAGTTCTGCTTTCCCTGTGAAGTTCACACATCTGTGATGAGTCTCAGTCCAGCACTCATCTCTTATATTGATTACTCGTGCTAATGTGCACAAAGCGCTCTGATTACTCCTTTGCTTCATTTAGTTTTTATGCCAATAGAGTGCTGTTTGAGAAGCTTTTTGATCCCCTAGTTAGGGGGCCTGCATAAGCTGCCATTTGGCTAGCCCTCCTATTTGTGGGCATGATGTTAAAATAAGGCTAACAGGATTTGACCTCTGTGCTTTCTGTTTACCTTACTGTTAAACTTTGAGAAGCTTCAAGACAGTAATTTACTGTTGACGAAGAAGTATTCTGGGTTTCAGGATTCAATTCTGTCTGCATTCTGGCAAATTTTCTTTATGTTTATTTTCTCATGTAAATGATTAGAAAACATACTTCTTATTGTGTATGTATTAGGGCTATTACACTTTTTAAAACTGCTTTAAATTTTTGAACAATAGTCATTACAGGGGCTGATGTTTCAAGTCTGTCCGCATATGTGTAGCGCTGTAAATGTCATTGGGACTTTGTGGAGGAGTTTCTGGAACTGGGACGTGTGAGAGCAAGTTTGGGTGTTCTCTCTGAGCTATCTGCATACATCTCTTCAGCTTTGTCATTACAGCAAAAGACATGTTTCTTTCCAGGCTAAAGAGAAGTACCAGGAGGGAAGTGGAGGAGTAACTGAAAGGACTAGAGTGCTTTCTGAGGTAAAACATCTTCACATAATTTCTTTTGCTTATTTTAGAACAATCTTCAGAGAGTTGGCGTTTAGTGTTTGCGGTTTTATGAACCTAGTTCTTCCTGATTTGTTCTCATGTTAAAGATTAATCTGTTTGTTTAGTGGAGGCAATCTAGTCCAGTCCCGGCATTTTAAATCCAGGCTGCTATTGATTTTTAACTTGAGAGTTTGGGCAAACTGTTGTGAGCTCTTAATTTCCCCAGTTCGTAAAAGAGGCTGAATGTTCTGTATTTTATAACCTGTGTCCTAGAATTATTGAGGATTAATCAAGTCATGTCCATAAATTTTTTGGAAGAAGAAAAGCTTAACTCTCGTTTTTAGTTAAAATTAACAATTTGAAATTTTCACCTTCCAAGCACTTAAAAGCAGTATTTGACTAAATAGTAACTTTTCCATACCGGTCAAATTATCTTAATACCTAAACCTGGTTTTCTGTTGGGTTTTTTTTTTTTTTCCCCTTCTTCTTTTTTCTGACAAATTTAAAGAAAAATCCCCAGACTCCTAACTGCCTCAACATGTTGAGTGTTCCATGGCATTTCATTTAGAATTACTGCCTGATTTCCAAATATTTCAATCCATTGTCCAATTCAGATTTTTTTTTAATGGCTCTGTTGTTTGGATTTGAAAAACCCATTTTATTTATTAGATGATAAAGTGTCTGGAGTAGTCACATAAAATAGATCACACCGTAAGAATGTGCTGGAAATTGTAAAACAAGTTTGAGATGTTTTAGAATAGAATAGAATAGTTCAGTTGGAAGGGGCCTACAACAATCATCTAGTCCAACTGCAGTAGGTAATACAGCAGTTTAACGAGAGTTTTCTATCAAAGATTTCTGAGTGTATGGATTCTGCAGAATTAGAGCTTATTTCTACTTCACTCTCAAGGAAGTAAGTTTGAAAAAGAGAGTACTTTACAATGACTTTAAATTTATAATGTGTGTCTGCTTTGTAAGTTAATGACTGATTAGCAGTGATGAATATGTTACTAGCTGGCAGCCTTCAAACTATGTAGATGCAGTGGTGCATATCTGAGATAAACTAGACACGTTGGATATTACTACTGACCTGCTTTCAAGCATGCAATCAAATCTCAGCCCACTTAGCGAGACCAGCAGCACTGTAGGTATGCACTAACAGTGCAGCAGTGTTTCTTTTTTGTTACTGAAAAGGCATATCGAAGCCTTAATGAAGGGCCATTTTTATATTATAGAGAAAAATACTAAATTATTACCTAGACTGTACCTTAGAATAATATATTTGCTTTTTCTTCATTGTCTACAAAGGCAAACTGGTTGATAGTCAGTGCTGAAATGCACTTTTATTCTTCATACATGCATTTTACATACCCGTACGCATGCCAGTGCCAGCACGCATCATCTTTTGCTGCAGTGCTGTTTCTCAGGTTTCCACCATCACTTGCTGAAGTCCTGACACTTCCAGAAGGGCAGCTGGCATGGTCATTTGATGCATCTTGGTCTGCAGGGATATTGGTTCCTATCTTCCATCCAGCATCGTACTGCAACACTTCCACTGTTGGTTTTATTGTTTTAGGATGCGCAAATTCTTAGTAACACCATGCTGTTTGGCCAACTTGTTACTCTTTTTGCTGTAATTTTAACAACACTGATTTATTTAAAGTTAAATTAAAACTTCTTAATGTTTGAAAAAAAAAAGGTTCCTCTGTATATAACTAAGACAGATTAGTTCATTTTTTTAAGTAATGCGGTTATTCAGCAGATAATTTTTTTTGTTTTCTTTTTTTAACTTGACATTCATCTGGTTTAATTAAGAAAAAAATATCTATTTTAAGATTACAGAAGTATTAGAGAGAGTGAAGCAGGAAACAGAAGAGAAAGGAAGTAGTATGACCGATGGTGGTAAGTATGTGTTTTGCCTCAAACGAAACACCTGTTTTCTCAGTGACAGGTACATAATTTGTCCTTTATTAAAGAAAAATAAAACAAGACCGGAATGAGTGACTAGTCTAAAATAGCAATATGAACATTTTAAAAGGTGTCTTAAGAAAATCAGGAGTCTAAACCTCTTTGAAAAGGTTATGTAAGTCTGCAGAATTTCCCCCTTTGGTAAATTATTAGTAAAAATAAAAAAAAAAGGGGGGGGGGTGGTTGTCTCTGCTTTGAATAGTTATCAACTCACTGGAAGAAATTCACACATCATGGGTTCAAGCCCTTTCACTCTGAATAGTTACTGGCAGTAGCTGCTAGATTCCCTACGTTTGGCTGGAGTCAGTGAGAAAATTCATTTTGGTGTTTCGATGTTTGGACTTTTTTAATATTTAAAACTGCATACCTATTTGAATTAGTTTGTCTTGGACTCAGGATTTGGTGGTTTGAGATTTTTCCTGAATAAATACATTGTTGCAAATGTATAAGGAGTACAAATGCAGAAATAAATTGATGCATGTTACAGTAGGGCTAAATATGCAAGCGGTATCCATATGTAACTGTAACCATTATGGCTAATTCACTTAAGTAGTTGTAAGTATTATTGTAGGAACAAATTTTGTGCACCTTGCTTCACTGTGAAGGAGCTACTTGTGTGCCTCGCAGCACCTTTTCTGTATCATGGCATGGCCAAGGGCCAGAATAAAGTTTAGAGCCCAGAATTATAAGGCGCAATATGATGCAGCAGCATCCCCCCTAGGGTGATATTATTGGGAAGTGAGAGATTAGAAACAAAGTATGGAGCACAAAACATTCAAATAGCTTTTCACAGGTAAGATGACCTGCTGAAGTTGTCTTCAGTTCTCTACCAAACCCCAAGTCAGCTATCGGGATGAGGCTTTCAGCTGAGCAAAACACATCATTGACAAACCTATCTTAATGTTGTTGCACATCTTTATGCAGATCTTAGATGACAAGAAGACAGCAAAATTGTCATCGCCTATTTCTATCTTTAAAGATTATGTCTTGCCTATTAAAAATGGGGTATCGGTACAATCAAGTCGTCAGAGTGAAACGCCCTTTTGTTCATTCAACTCCTCAATTTTAAGGAATGAATTATAGAAAATAATGCTTTTGTGTTAAGTAGCTGACACTGAGTTGCACTGTTTATCTTTTTTTGAACAGCTCCTCTAGTAAAGATTAAACAGGCCTTAACAAAACTGAAGCAAGAAACCATTCAGATGGACATACAAATTGGTGTAATGGAACACACATTACTCCAGTCAAAGCTGAAAGAGAAATCCAATATGACTAGAGATATGCATGCAACAATGATTCCAGAAGCCACAGTAGGTGCCTATTAAAATTGTTTGGAGCTGACTTGGCTTGCCAAAATAGTTTTCTACCATTTTCTTTTTTGTTGGTTTAGGGGTTCCTTTTTGTTGGGGGAGAGGGGGAACTCATTTTTCTCTTTTGTTTTTAAGAAGATGCTTGTCATTTACTTTTAAGAAGTAACTGCACACTTTCGACTCAGCATGAAGTCATGTTTAGGTTTGTGCTGTAAAGATTTACTGCAGATCCATTCCAGATTTATGCTAATAAATTCTTATTAATGAACATGTCTCTACTTCATTGGAGAATGTTATGTAGCGTGAAAGTCTACAGAATGATACTGACAGCCTGTAATCTTGATATTCTACAGTGCTGAAAGAAAATTGCTTGCAAAGGACTTGAATTTAAAATATCTATTATTGCCATTTACATACGTTTAGTATAAAGTATTTAATTGCTGATACTGAAATAATACAGCATTGTCCCTTCTAAAAGGCTGGGTCAAAATTGATTTCAGCTGCAAGTAAAAGTAAATTGTTGCTTCCACTTTATGAATTAAGCAAAAAACTAACGTTGCAATAGTTGCAGTAATATTGCCATGCTCCATGTCGGCAGCCCGACACAAGTTTGTGAATGGACAACCACTGTATTCCATCACTGCTATGGATGTGTTTTGTAATTATTTTTATTTTTCCATTGCCTGTAACAGAAGCAATGGTAACAAAATCTGTACAAGACCAGAGAATGTGAAAAGTATTGCCTGGAAATTACTTTTGGCTCTCTAATTTTTTTTTTATGTGTCGTCACTGTTTCAGAGTCACTTTATATTAGCATTGGGTCAAATGCTGCTTTCATTTATAGTATGTAGTAGAGCCATGTGGACATCATTTGGATTATTCTTGCTTTCTGTTCTTGTGTCAGAACACTTAATATTGATCTCTGTTAAGGAAAACTGTTGCCAAATCTAGTTCTGTAATACAGAATGAGAAGAAAAATGTAGGAGGAAGGTTGGAAGTGTAATGGCAACAGGGAGCTCCCTTTGTCTCAGTAAATGTGTGGGTAGGGAGTGATTCTAGACATTATAGGTAATGAAGGAGTGTGGAACAAACACATAACCTTATTCAAGTACTAGTACATCCTTTTGGTTACCATTGTTCATAAGCCATGAACCATATTGGTACAATTCCAGTGATACTAAAATCCTCCCCTAACTTCTGTAGGCAATTCATTCATCTTACAATTAATTTCTCTCACTTAAAGGTGAGCAGTATTCTGCATAATTGGCGGATCAGTTCTGTGTCTTAAAGCCAAGACATGTGACACAGTCAGTACCGTGAGCCAGTTTCTTAACTTTGTTGTGCTTCAGTATTTCATTTGCCAAAAAGAAAAAGCCCTAAACCCATCAGATTTTAATAAGTGAAAAGCTATATCTAAATGCCAAGTATTATAATTTACCTGTGCAAGCAACTGCTGAAAATCTCTATGAATCACACTGGAAATCGGTTTCCAACTTCTTTGCTGCCTACCTATATCCTCCCACATTCAGCTTAAATTAGAAAAGTTATTATTCATGTTGCCTTTGTTAGGTGGTGTTGCTACTGCGTATTTACTTTAACAGCAGGTTTACTTCAACTTAAGATAAAAGCAATCCTCTTCTGCATTGCCTGCAAAGCAGTTCACTGATGCTTTCGGATTGCAAATGTTGTGCTGTGTAAATGCTGTTTATGTAAATACTTTCACCCCAAAATTCCTCCTTCATGCTAATACAACAAACAAAATTAATCAAAAACCTTCCCTTCTGAATTAAGCCTCTTATTCTATTAGAACTGAATCTGTTAAGACAAGCATGGTCAAAACCCCTCTAATGTGGTAGAAGAATCTCCAGAAGAAAAGCTAGCCTCCTTTATGCCAATATAGTTCTAAAATAGTGTGCTAATTATGTGTAATTAATCTGCACTATTTTTCACGGTACTGTCTGAAACCGCATTAATCTAAGCAGGATGCTTCTGTTGTCTCAAGAGTGATACATGGCCCTTAATTGTCATCTGACAAAGAATGGCATTTGCCCATTTAGACAGTAAAACCACTTGACCCCGCTTTGAAAGTGGTCTTACTGATCCAGCAAGTGGCCACACCACCTTCCTTAAAAGCATGAGGAGAGCAACGAGGTCTGTCAGAAGCAGCCTGAAAGGCTGTTCTAAAAAAGCAATTATCTGTGTAATTATTCCATTGCTGGATCAATGCAGGAAGCAGAAGCCACATTAAAATTAAATCACTTGATTCACGTTATTTCATACATTGTTCATTATCCAATGCAATGTCAGAACCGAAAACCAACAAAATGTAGGATGCACGTGAAGCTGTGCTGTGCTATAAAACAGTCTCTCTTCTTCTGAAGAATACTTGGGGCAGAAGGACTATTCTTAAAAGTTAACTTTTATATACAGTTCTCCTCTTCCAAGGGCCTTTACTGTTTTCAGTCCTCTGAAATACACCAGCACGGAGGCACGGTGTCACTGTTACACATCATCTAGAAGCCAAACAGAGGCTAGCTATAGACAGATCCAGAAGTAGCACAGAGGGACAAACAAGGAGTTTGATTTGCTGAATCTGGTCAGAGAAGCCATGGGTTTTCTCTTTGCCGTGAGGACTGCGATAGTTCAGTCTCATATGGGGAGAGCTGAGACTTGGCTCTTGGAAATATGTGGCTGAGGAAGGCTCACCAGTACCCAGCTCACTCTCCTGCCTGTACTCCCCAAAGCTCCAGAAAAGGAACACGAGCAACATATTACTTCTTAGGGTTTCTGCAGCTCTGAAATCCCTCTGAACCTCATAACATGACTCTTATTTCCTTATTTCATAACATGAGTCTTATTTCCCTGGGCTATCTTCTCTCTAGGCTAGGATGTAATGGATGCAAGTGCCCTGCTAGGAACTGGAAGTAGCCTTAGCTCTCGCTGCCGTATTAGAGGTGCTGTTTACAGGCCATTTAGGATATTTGAGAGTGATGTTATATTTACTAAAGAGGGTAACGTGGGTAATATCCCAATCCCTATTCTCTTCTAATGTCAGCAGATGGCATGATTTGCTGAATATTATGTGCTGTGCTGGTAAAAAGTGCAAAGTAGGGGCTGGATTTTTACCTGTTAATCCAATTCTTACATAGAGAACCTTCTGTGGAATTAATGACTTAATATTGAAATGGCAAGAGTTTAATAGTGGCTTTCAATCATATGCCAAGAATTGGGTATTGCGGTAATAGTGCTGTGCAGGAAGTTGAACCAGAAGTTCACATGAATCTGAGAAACCACTAACTGTTACAAACAACTCCCAGATCTGGGCAGGATATTCTCACTCTTTTCTGCTGATGGCATTAAAGGCTTTCCCCTCTTCCCTAACATGAAAGAGAGGAACTTCAGGGAAAATTCTTTCTTGAAAAGAAAAACAAGTGCCCGCCTACTATTACACATTGCCCCTTTTTTGGAGTATAGCTCTGCTGTGCACTGTCACATACAAAAAAAAAATCACTGTATTGCTAATTGTAAGTTACAGTAAGAGCAATTAAGTCATCTTTGCATGACCTATAAAAAAGACTAGGCATAAACGAAGAGCCTGTATGTGAACATTTCCAGCTTCTGAGCTCTTTGAATGTTGCATCCAAATTTTGCAGCCTGGGCTTCTCTCCAAGTTTCACAAATGTTAATTAAAAAAAGAAGAAATTAGTGTGATGCTGTTTCTTTCCACGCTGGCTCTCAGCCCGCTCCCTGAATGTCAGTGCTGCAGTGTGCCTCCACGAGGCAGCTGCATGTGCATGCGCACATGCGGTGCGCGTAGTCCTGCCTGTCGTTTGGCCGAAACTAGCAGTAGGCTTTGGCAGCATAACAACGTGCCTGCGAATACCCTGTCCCAGTTCCCGCAGCATCGGTGCTTTTGTTGTGGTTTAGCCCCAGCCAGCAACTAAGCACCACGCAACTGCTCGCTTGCTCCCCCTGCCCCGGCGGGATGGGGAAGAGGATTGGAGGAGTGAGAGCAAGAAACACTCCTGGGTTGAGATAAGATCAGTTTAATAATCGAAATAAAGTAAAATAGTAATGATAATAACAACAATATAACAATAATAGTAATAATATACAAAGCAAGTGATGCACAATGCAATTGCTCACCACCCGCCGACCAATACCCAGACAGTTCCCAAGCAGCGATTGCTGCCCCCTGGCCAACCCCCCCTATTTTATATACTGAGCATGATGTCGTATGGTATGGAATAGCCCTTTGGTCAGTTTGGGTCAGCTGTCCTGGCTGTGCCCCCTCCCAGCTTCTTGTGCACCTGGCAGAGCATGGGAAGCTGAAAAGTCCTTGACTGGTGTAAGCATTGCTTAGCAACAACTAAAACATCAGTGTCTTATCAACGTTATTCTCATGCTAAATCCAAAACACAGCACTATGCCTGCTACTAGGAAGAAAATTAACTCTATCCCAGCCGAAACCAGGACACTTTCTACTTTCATGTTGATGTATTAATGTTTTAGGAAGTGGCTGGGTGTTTTCTGACTTAAGGGTTGATACAGAACTTGGAAAATACCTTGCCTATGATATCAGTGCCTGTGAGCTTAAGTAAACAGAGGGTACAAGCACTGGATTTTCTGCACAATACTGATTATAGGTGGGGAGTTTCCACAGAAGACTCTGAGATTGCGAAAGTTATTTTTTGCCTGCCATTTCCTCCTCTCAATGTACTTCTCCCTTCAGCAAACACCATCACCAGGGCTTTCTCAGATATTTGCTAATACTTAGCTATTGCTCCAGGGCTTGGTGTTGCTGGAAATGTCTGTCTGTCAGCCTCCTAGTAACAGCCCTATCGTTTTGCAAACAATTATTCCTAGACAACACTGGTATGAGCAGGGTTGAGAGCTTTTTATTGTGAGGAAATAACAAGTGGAATAATGCTAGTCTTTCACTTACTGGCTAGTTTTACTCCGTTCTTTTTCATTCCTGGTCCTAAGTAATTAAGCATGGTTGTATCTCAGTACTCCATCCCAGAAGTGGCTGAGACATGCTCGTCACTCATGTGTCTTAGCTACCTGTTGTAAAAATCAACAAAGATGAATATTTTAAGGTCAGAAGTACAGAATAATTATTTCTAATAGTATTCCTTGATGTCTCACTAATTGCAATTGTTCATTCAGAGTATTTTCCTGTTTCTGTGGCTTTCAAAGGATGGTAACACTTCAAATGACTTCTTAGTGTTATTCAGTAGTAACATGAAGAATTAAACTGGATTGTAG